TGGTTGAATAATTTGTTGTCTGCTGAAAATAGTGCACTGTGTTCGCCATAACTCCATATTACTCGAAAGCTTTGAGATTTTGATTAGCATGATTACTGCTGACACATAATTGTTGATGGTTGTTGTTGCATGTCAAGCCACTTTTGCACACAACGGAGATATCGAGTTACTCAAGTCTACACATCAGCTGCGTTTGTGCGGAAATCAGCTACTTCGTGACGTGAATGCATGTTGTTACAATTAGAGGGGCTTAGAGTAGGGTTCACCAGTCAATATTTCATCCGAAGATAAGAAAGAACTTTTTATTAAATTCTTGGGGTGATAAATATCACTGACATTTAGGATATGAACAGCAGCTTTCTGCGCTAACTTTTCTTCGAACCCCCGAGATCACTTTACTTTTATTTCAATGAACGATTTCTAAGATTTGGTATGAAGGGGATAAGTATTTGTTTTTGCCCCTAATTTCTTGTTGTTGACTTTGGGAGCGCAGCATATTTGCTTATTAAGTGGTTTGCAGCTAGATGCATCCAATCTATCATGCTGACAACCGTATATCCATCAAGAAGGTTCTCACTTTTACGATTTTTCATCCATCGCAACAGAGCAACTATTTGTGTCCACACACAAAGTGTTTTCTCTAATTTATATGCATACTTAAACATTTTAAAGGTAAGAATTTCATAAAATAGCAGAAGCTAAATACCATTGTTAGGAATGGCCCTTTAAAATCTTCGATAAAAGGAAGTACTCTTTTTCTGCTGTTGTTTGCATTTAAATGTTAGCTCTACATACTACTGGTGGAACGTTACCTATTGCCAGTGCTACGATGCTTTGGGAGCTAGAGTAGCCTGCGAATGATTCGAATGCATAATCAGTCCATGTGGAGGGCTTTCGGTGTTGCTAATTCACACCACGGTAACTCCATGACTGGTTTCTTCCTCGTCTCTACTCCTCAGGTGGAGAGAGCCTGAGCTGAGTGTTAAACTGGGGGCCCAATGGCTAGCAACTGAAGTCTTGATCAATAGGCCAGTCAACTTTGGATCGGTCCATGTTTTCCACTTTGGCGGCATAAAAACCACTGGGAAAGGGTAAAAAGAAGGACTAAAGTAACCAAAAGGTCATTTGATATACAGGTAGAGCAAGTGAACGTGTTGATATGGATTTCATGCATTTTCAATACTACCAACTCCCAACGACAGTGTGTCCGGGGGTTTTCACTGAAGCCTGAATCACTAGAATCGGTCAGGTGCATGTTCCCACAAATTAGCGTCGGACGTTCAGATGCTTGAGATTTCCGATATTGTGTTTGTGTTAAGACATCTCTCTGGAGAGACGCGAAACTGTGCACTGTTCTAAACTATCCCAACCTATCCTGGCAGCGTGATCCATGAGTCCAGATACTTGTGAAGGAAGTAGCTGTATCGAACACTGGTACTAAATTTCGGTGGTACCAGCATGTAACGAGCAGCAACTCGCTCTGCTTAAGGAGAGAGATTGATCGCTCTTTAAGTTGGTACTGTTTCAAAGAACAAAAAGACGATGCTTAGTCTTATTCGGGCGCTTTACAGAGGATCTGGCTCGAGCATTTCTTAGCGATCAAGTTAGTTGAACACAGAAGTGTTTACAAATCGGTTGGTGAAACAATGTGTTTTCGTACCTTATTGAGCGGCAGCGCGTAGTATTCTAAAAGCTGCATACTCTGAGAGTAAACAAGAATCTGCAACTGTAACCCATAAGTTTTGGCATTGGCTGCGCTGTAACACACTCGTACAGCAAAGTTGAAGCAGTGTGAGTAGCGTAGACTGAAGTTGCGCTCGGTGCCTCAGTCGGTGTAAATTTTGTTTCGCATGCGTCTCACCAGCTTTCTCGGGCTTCACTTGTATGGAGAGACGTTAGTGCCACTGAAGAACAGAAAAGGTCTCCCTTGAATGAAGACGTGGAACGTGACTTTACCATAGCAAACAAAAGGTACTGGAATGCTTAGAGCACTGCTTTGGAAAGCTTAACTAATTACTAATCAGTTTTAGTCTACCATCTCGATTATGTACGATTTTTAAGAAGATTGAAAGGTACCAATCACTTTATGGTGCCGGATGAAAATAGTCTGCGATTAGTCGAAACTGCTGTGCGCATTATAAGTTTATTCGATCTACAACGACCACGAAATCCAGTGTTGACTTTTAGAACACCCACGGGTGAGCTTAGATGGTACCACTCAATCTCAGCCTTGATAACCACTTATTACGGCTATACCGGAAGCGGTTTTAGTGTTACGAACAGTTTTGTGCTCCTTTGAACTCTTCAGGCTTAAGTAGTCTGACTGAGAGGGCGTTGCTCACTGGAACATTAAGCCACGCGAGCTCGGTCTACCCGGAAAGTCCGGAGATGGATTGCGGTGTATGGCGTTGTTGCGGACAACGTGGAGAAGTCCTAGCCCTCGAAGCTGTTTCGTGAGTTGACAGCTTGCAACAATACTTCGATTTTCACCTATATTTTTGTAGCCCACTGAAGTAACCTGCGTGTACCGCATACTTACATGAAGATTTCGGTTCAAGTTAAGTAGTAATAAGTCGAGACATTGACAGTTCGATTTATGCGTTGAGGGCATTTGCGGAAGCGTGTTAGAATCGAACTAACCAAACACCCGCTGCAAGAAGCTCGTGCTGATTATTTTGATTGCTTTTTCATCGCAACCGAGGTGGTTCTGTACATGCGCTACGAAGCATTTCTCAGCAACCACCACAGCAGCCATCGGATGACGCCATGTTGGACCGCTGGGGAATGCTACTTCGTTCGCATATTGTTTGTCAGTTGATGATGATGACCGTGTGTTCAGTTCTCATCAAATAGACGAGATAGGCATTAGTGATTATCTCGGTCAGGATTTGGGAAAACTTGTGGTATACACCGACCTTACAGCTCTAACTCATGTGGGGAACAAGGGGACAGTTCCCCCCTGATGCGCAACTAATCTCGAGGGTTCAAGAAAACATACCCACTGTTAGGTAAGAGTAAGTGCCACAAACGGGAGTGGTAAGGTGGAACGATGGTATTCGAAGCGAAGAAGCCGACTAGAATATAACGTTTGTGCATGTATCTTTGCCCCGATGCCAAACAGAAATAATTATTGGTATATGCAGATGGAAATTGGGTATTGCCAACCCGAAAACACTGCACAGTCACGACGCGTTTCGATGTAATTTTCATCTCATCTGTTGAGGCAGAAGTCAACCTGCAATATACCGTTGGCGGTAGATCTGGGTTACTAGTAATAACATTTTACCACTACGGTTTACGTATTGTGATAAGCAGTGTGCGGTGTGGCACAATCCGCTCACTGCGTCTCTATAATCACAGTGTTCTGTAGCTGTTCTCAGTCAGTGATAGGTAAATCCGAATGCGGATACATCCCGCCTTATAGTATGTGATTTATCCCAAACCATTAGGTCAAATCATAACGCAGTAAAATTGTGCACATCTGATAGTTACAGCGAGACGGATTTGTGGTATTCTTTTTAGCACATCAAGTTTTTAACCCTAATCCTTTCATCAACGTGACCTGTTAAATGTTTACGTTCTTTCTCCTGATGGATGCATTGTTTGTAGTCTTTCCATTGTTTTACTTCACTTCCCAATTTCGTCGCGCATAACGCTATAGTTTTCGGAGATGAGACAGATGGGAAGGATGTCGTGTGGGATATAGTAGTCTCGAAATGCGTGGTCTGCATCATTTGATACCAAGGCTGCATCGCAAGTTGAACAGATGACTTGATCTCGCTAAACGAATTCCTCTTTATGGGCTATAGCCAATGTCTCACACCCAGCGGTCAACGGCGGTGCTGGAATTCTGCTTTTTGATCCAAGGTGTCAGTTCTTTCTTTTTTATATCAACAGATTTTTATTTTCACAGTTGTAACTACTTCTGCCTTGGCTCCTCCCGTCGCGGCTGATTCTTAGTGCCAAGCGACTCTGTCCTTGGCGTTGACAACTCCTACGCAATTGGATCTCCTTGGATTCGTCCTATCGAACTTCTCGAACAACTCCACATACAGCGCAAAGTGGAAAACGCAACCAGGAGTGAACGAGTAAAACTCGTCATAAGTCAAAAATTCGCTTTTATGCACCCATGTAGGGTGAATTTTCAGATGTAACACAGCTGATATTTCAGAGCAAGCATGTGATGCTTGTCTATGTGAGTCCGATAAGTTTTCTCCGGGGTTTGCTTATGCATGTTTTGCAAACTGCTGGCTGATGCCTGACGAACTCGTCCATGCCATCCGCAGTTGTCATAGTATGCATCCCAAATGTAACCAAGCTGATCATTAGTTCCTAATTTAGTCAAAGGTGGTATCATTCTGTGTCACGCACAGCAACCGCTGGTAATTTATAGAACTCATCGCTGTTGTTAACCAGATCAAACTGTTAGCGATGCTCACTTGGAACAGCCGAACTTTAGGTCAGGGATGTGGCAACGTATAGCCATTCACCACAACAAACTCTAACTGCATGTTAGCACTGGTTACCTCACGTACCTGAAGGAGGGGAGAAGGGAACATTTAAAAAGGTTTGATAGAGTAATACCAAGGTACTGGGGTTCATGGCGCATTAGATGTCTGAAGGTTGCATGGACCCAATCGCCAGTGCTTTCAAAGCTAATCTGATGGTGGAGGCGGTCACGATTTGCATTTGTTATGTGTGCGAATGTTGTGTGTTTGCAGTCCACCAGGCTGATTCACGTTGATCATCGGCGCCCCAGAAGCAAAGTGACCTCAATCTGTACGATAGAGCCACATGAATTTCACTTGATTAACTGTTGACCTGATTTGTGCTATTCTTGCCCTCGCTGTTCTCCCATTGGATGAACAGTAGCTGTATGACCGCGCCGCACGGAATCATCCCCGCTCTCTCGATGACCCCAAGCACGGTTGCTAAGGCTGTGGATCGATGTTGGGCCGAACGAGTTACGCCACTGCCTGTCTGGTCAACACTCGTGGCACATTGGGAACGAGGCACAAATTGTAGGCACATTTATCACGCCATCTGCAGAGCGAACAATACGCACATGCGGATTCGTGTGCGGTGCGTGTTTTCCCAACTGAATTCGTGATGCATTTTGAGACCCGAGTACTCGCTCGGTTGTGCGTGCGTGTGTGCAGCATCTATTCCGTTGTTAGTATCAGTTCCACTATCTGACTTCGGGAACATTTTCCATTACTTTCGAGTTTTAACAACTTGTTCCTCTACAACTGAACAGGGCAAACTTCAATTCTGACACATTTCCACCTCATTTTCCCGGTTCCACGCGTCGGAAGTGTGCAGTGGCGATGCAACATTTGTACCCGAACTTTTATTCCTTAATGTCCGCCCCATCTCAACCGCTGGATCCGCGTTTTCGGCGGCGATCTCTAATCTGGAATTCTACTAACGGTTCATCTGATGGTTTACCCATGGGATACTTCATTTGGACACCTTTACCAGACTCAAAAAGAACAAATCCTAATGCATTGAGTTTACCTGCTCGAAGACGGTGTGCGAGTCAAACACCTATGCGAAATTCATCGAACAACCATGAATTTACTGCGAGCATGGCGCAATCATTCCGTCGTTCTCAGTCAGATTCCCCCTCGGATGAATCTACCCCGCCCCCTCCACCTTTGTTTGCAGATGAAACGACCGAAGAACCCAGACGAGATGAGACACTCACTACTTCTGCGATTGAGGTCTCACAAACTCAAACTAACGATATGCATTATCTGTTTCCTGCCCGCACTGGTTGTGGAGAGAATTCTTCAACGGTACATCGAAGCGATCCACAGTGCGTTGGCATTCGAGTGCAGAAATCTCTTCCCTCGAGAGAGGCTCATGACCGACGGCGTGGTCAGGTTGTACGCTCGACATCGACCTACAAACCTTTGACTCACTGGGGTCAGGCACCGAATTCTAAACAAGCAGTGACGCAGATCCAGCCTGCTTCGAGTCTTCAAGATATCGATAACTTGAATCTCCACACTCCGCACTTTTCTGCAGGCGTTTCACGTGGGCCGCGCGTCAAGCTCGTGATGGGTCTAAGGCATTTGAACCACGGCAACCGCAGTGGACTCAGGATGGACGGAGAACTATTAACCCCAGTAGAATATTTGTGTCATCCAGCCACACCCGCTCCAGTTTATCATTCTCGTATGAATTCTGTGCCATTAAGTAATCCACGCTCAGGGAATTTTCAGGCCACAGCCATGTGCCAGTTGCCAACTGTCACCACATCCTTCCACTTAGCTAAAGACCATAAGTCACGTTTGGCAGATAAGCCATGCACATATCGGGGTTCAACCGTACTCGCAGAGAGTTGTGTGCCCGATCCAAAGGCTTGTCAACCACTTACACCAATGATGGTCCACTCCGCAAAGGTGGTGGCTTCTGCGGTGTCTAAGTCATCCATACAGACGAAGAATTTCCTGGACACAGGAGGGCTGTTAACCACATCGTCCGATTCGGGCGTCGATCTCAGTGACACATCCGGGGCCAACGGATTCAGCGGTCCTCTCGGCACGTTTCCTGTAGAACGTACTGGTCCAATCACAAGAAGGAGAACACATGTGAATCCAAAACGAGTCAGTTATCCATGAATAACATTGCACTGTGTATTACTGTATTCGCTACACTAGATGCTATCCATGTTGGCTAACAATTTATTTAACCTTACAGCTTACGTATATGTTGAGTGACCAACAAATTCACTTGAAATTTATTGCTTAGAGAAACCAACTTTAGTGGAACGCGTGTATGGTGTTTAGGTGGCCAAACTACTTACTAGCTATAGCCCTGTGCTCCTGTCGAAAGCGAAAGGTAGAATTCGTCCTACCGCTTTGCATTTGTTCCAATGCTTGGTTCCGGTTAAGTGTTTCCATGAGATTTTGGCTCGCATTTTTAAGTGAACTAGGTGGATGTGAACAATACCAGTTCAAGTTATTTTCGCCTATTTCCGTGGCATCTCCTCCGCAGTTGCTTCAATCGTAGGGTGGCTCACACCCCAGAAAAATATATTTCAACAATATTTTAACTTATTTCTTGGCATCATAGCGATTGGAAGCTGTTTGTTGCAGCTAGTGCTATTTATCACTGATCTACACATTCATATTTTCCGACACGTTACCGCAGCGCGTTGCAAGTTGTCTGAAAGATCTATGCTCGACGTGTCGCCTTGGTTGCTAAAGTAATTCACCTACCCATAGAAAACATAGGGCAATCAATTGTTTCACCTTTCTGATGTAAGATATTTCTAATCTGATTCTACATGAACTTTAATGTTGATTTCAAATTTGAAACCATTTTCTGTGTGATGTTGTTTTCATACATTTTGATATTTTACCTAAATAGATAATTAAATACCAGTAATTTCGTTTCAGATAGGACCATGACTCACTCAGGTTGAGATACACGTGCAAATGAATCTGATGCACTTGCTATTTATGCGGCTGTTTTACACTAGTTCGTCAAAGGAGAAATATCACTTCGTTTGTAAAATGTGTCCAACAATGCATTCTTTAAATACCCCTTGGTGATCAAAACCAAAAATGAGCACCTCACATTGTGTGGCATTATTGTGAGGAAATGCATCGTGACTGGACAAAAGGTAAACGCAAAGGCCTCGCATTTGAAGTTCCCAGGGTTTGGCGAGAACTTACGAATTACCTAACAGACTGCTATTTTTGCATGGTTAATTCAAAGGTATTTGAGTGAAAAGTCAGCAGCGGATCTCTTATCCCAATATTTCATCTACAATTCGACCCATTCCACACTCCGAAGAGCTACCATTTCCAAAATGTAAAGGTTTTGCTTCATCAGATGAGGAAGTCAGGGGGCGTGATGACGTGACTTGTTTGCGTGATTCAGGTTCATATTAAAAAGACTGCAACTGATGCTGAACTTTCATCAGCAACCCAGTAAACAAGAATTGAATGCCTTAGTACGTGATTTGGGACTCTCCAAGAGCGGCTTCGTTATTAGTCTCCAGGCTAGATAAAAAATTCTTAACTGCACAACAATAATTTCCTTTTTCCGAAAACGTGGCTTGGAGTTTCCTGGCCTATTTTCTCAAAAGAAACATTTCCACGCAAAACCATAAACGCAAACTCTTACACGATTAATGCCTGGTACACATCTAGCTTTGTGCTTATGTCATGCTTAATCAAAATCTTATGTTAAGGATATATGTGTGCATCAGTTACATATTTATGATACATCGGGTCATTGACCATCGTTGCGAACAATATCGTCTTTTCCAATGTCAGATTTGAATTTAGCATGCTCAAATTATACAAGAATTACCGTTACTTTCTTCGCACTGAAATGTACCTGGACATCGTGATCTAACGAAATGCAGCTAAAAAGTTTGCAACGTGAAACTTATGCTCAGTGTTCCAAGAAACTGTGGCTCACAGAGAAAACCAATGTCAGATTTGGATTCAGCATATCCAAACAATATAAGAGCAATTGCTCATTTAAAAGTCGATGCAAGCGAACGTATGTTTTCAGTAATTTCTCTCCAGGCTTGTAGGGTTATAGGTGGAGAAAAACCAAATGTTTAACGCAACCTAAGGTTTGGTAAGATAAATCCGGTTCACAATCACCCTCCGTTTGATCACAAGTATGGTGTGCACACAATTTTGTGAACCGGATGTCGCAGTTCGAGCGGGCCAAGACAGTTTTAACATCTGAACGAGCCGTTTCTGAACACACAATCGGCTTGTACAGCCGAATCGCGATGACCTAGGCGATTCGATTCCTTGCAGCCAAAATGTTGTTCCGCCGTGTAAGTTACCAGGAAAAGTCTATGCATTGTATCGATGCGTACACGTACACGTACAACTCGGAGTACACAATGGTCTCCCGGACGTTTTCAATCGCGCTGTTAACACGCTTTTCCAATAAGCGTTACATTTTATCCCTGTTCTCTCACCATCGCTATGATTAGTTGAATCAATGGCAAGAATCATAATTTGCCCCTACCTAAGCAGAAACAGCGCATTTTCCAACCTTCTTTAAGAGATTACACGTGTTAATTATCTTTTCGTTTGCCTTCGTGGCCGTAACAACCTCGCTTACTTCCTTATGTACTTCGCGTAAACATATTGCTGTTTCTCCTATTGTCATTTCCATCACCCGATGGGGATGTGGCCATCTCATTATCTCAGCTGGAGCCCCCATTTGTCGGCGAGGAAGGGGAGTAAATACGGACTAACCGATCGTGAGATCCATCCACAATGCACCTTTTGTGATCTAGTCTGGCCCGAGCTCAGTGCTACCCAGGCTCGATGAAAGTCACTGTGCCTTAAGGAAAGCTTGAACGCTAAGATGTTTCGAACTCAGATTCCGATTCGCCTACCTGATCATTCAGCGCAACACGGTGGTGTCCGAAAACAAAAATCTTTCTACTTGCGTCGTGATTCGTGAAGTGTTGGTGTATTTTAGTGTAATACGTTTTACACGAATTGTAACGGAGTGACGGGAGTCTCCTTCACTGTGAATTAGCGCATTCGAAAAACAATGTTCCTTTTGTGGCTGCTAAGTAGCTTATTATTAGCTGCTATTTATCTATTCATCAGCGCTTTCGAAAGCCAATGCATTTAGTTCCCTTTAGTAACTAGAACGATGCGGTAAGAAAACGGAGGCTGGTAGATGCATTCGGTACTGTCTCATCAGTACCATTAACAATAACCGATATTCGACTATAACTAACTTTGGGCGTGACCAGACAATCTTGAGGTGCAAAATGTATGACGGAAGTTTCACCCCTATGTCCATGGCTGTCTTAAGCTCAAATAATTTGTTTTGTACACACAGGGTTAATGCCACAGTCTCTTCGAAACGGAGGAAGCGAGGATTAGAGTGAAATAACACGAATGTGAACGCTGATACGAGCTGTATTCGGTAGCGCGTGACCAATAGGTGGCTACCTTTTGAAGAAACTGGCGGCCAGCGCGAGCACGAAGACGCAGGGGGGCAGGGATGGTGGTCAGTTTCAAGTTGTAACATCTTTGACACCTTTTCCTTTATTCAGGAGTGAAAGACCGCTAAGTACTGCCTATGTAACTGGCTCCGCAGTCATGCATGAATCATTAGATACAGTGGGAATTAGACCCGATCGGATGAGCTTCGTTCGGTAGAAGAACAGGCAAATTACGCATTCGGTTACTGACCACATCAGCAGCATGATAACTTTCTACGCAGCAGAACTTAAGCGTTTACTGGTCTTCAGTGTAGCGAAGTCACCCTTGAAAGGCAGTTCGATGTAGACCATTTTCTTAACCGCTAGATGCACTGTTCTTTTGGCCTCGCCGTTGGCTGTTCGACAAGAGCGTAGTTGTAATTACCCCTAGCTCTTCGGTCAGAAAATCCACCGAGCTAATTCGTGTAGCGTTACTAACCAAAGTTTTCACAAGTGTCCGTTTGTACTGCACTGGTGTGATGAGGAAATGCGCGTATCGGTCGGACCATGTAGTTTTTCTGTAGACTGACCTTTTACTTAGTCCGTCATCCTTGCGACTGATAAGGATGTCCAAGAATGATCTTCGGGTTTTGGAATACCCACCGTGTGTCATGGATTGCGACACACAATCGCAATTGGGGTCTCGATTGACTTTGAAGTCAGCCTCTGCCAATGCGATCACTGGGACCGTCACCGAAGTGGAGCGTTTCGGTGTGGCTTTCTCCCATACCTGCACTATCAGATAGATAGCCATGCTGGGAGTGGAATTCGGCGCATAATGCTTGTCGGCTATCGCCAAGATCACTATGCCACTGAACTCCGGTAACAGTGCTTAGCACAGCGGTTAGAATGGTAGACAGTTATTCTTCTCCACACCACAGGTGATCTGCAACTTGGCATGTGCGCCGTTAAGCTGCTACACCAATTGCACGATCTGCTGCTCCTATGAACAAAAGGTCAGTATGTCATTCACATAGCGCTTATAGTATGGCCGGCCCGTAGCCTGAAGGTAATGAGCTTGTCTTGTAACATGATGTCAAGGATTCGAGCCTGCGTAGAGGCAGGGCGACCCTCCCAGTATCCTTAGCTCGCGTGCGACCGGTGGTGGTTGCGCGGCAGCGAAGCGTCGACACTGGGTACCGGCGTACTGCTGATGCCTTTCTTCTTTTCTTCTTTATAGTATGGCAGATTGGATATTTCTGTAGATATGCCTCTTTCTATCATTAACAAAGAAATCGGCTGGTACCGGGCCTAGTGGGCTGCCCATTGCCACCTCATCGAGTTGACGGTATGGCGTATTTTGAAAGTGGAAGCCAACATTTTCAGTAGACAACAGCAATGAAATTTTTAGAACTTCGACTAGTATTGATAACGAAAAATCAGATTGCTCAGCTAGTTCGCCGCTGTAATCGACTGTCGAGTGTAATGGACCGTTAGTTAACAGATATGCTATATCCGATGTATACATAACCTTACCGGTCAGGTTGATGTTATCCAAGTTGTCGATAAGTTGAAAGGAATTCTTAAAGACTCTAGATATTGGCCAGTTGTCGCAGCAGTGTAAGGATTTTCACTAGCCAGCGAGTTAATTTGTGCTTCGGAGCATTTATCATTAATAGAATC